TATTGGTGCGGATCCACTAAAATTTCCACTGACTTTGGTTTTGTGGCAAGCTGAGTCCGCTTGTAAATTGTAGCCAAGACTCGGGCAGCAGGCTGAGCATCTTGAGACATTTGGTCTGCTCACGGTACGTGATGCCCGCGATCGCCAATTTCGCGTAGAGTTCCCTCATCTTGTCCAGTATGGGTTGCACAGGTTCATTCTCACTCAACCGCAAGGTGGACAACTCCCTATCCAGCATGAGGGTAGCCGCAACCGATGTCGGAGCATGCAGGTCCTTGAGCACCGCCCATGCCTTGGGCCCACAATCAGTTTCCGGTAGCAGATGCATAAGGTGATGCCACAGGTTCAACTTCAAGCTTTGTGACAGTAGATAGCACCCAGCAGATGAATGTTCATCCCAATCCACTTGCTCCGCCATTTCCTTTGGCCTTGGCTCCATTCCAATCATGAGCTTTAAAAGGCCAATTTGTCGAAAGTAGAGCTGCATCTTCCATGCCCAATCATCATAACCATCTCCAGAGAACTTCTCAACAGTGAATTTTTTCAGCGCCTCCTTAAGCAGTGACCCCTGGCTTGTATGTGCTTCCCTTTGCACTACAATGCCAGAATCTTGGGTTGAGCTGCCACCTTGGCCTGAAATATCACCTCCACCAGAGTCCTCCTTACCTCCCATCATAGTTTAGGTCCCAAAATGCATGATAATTGGCTCTGATACCAGCTGTTGGTGCGAGAAGGCTATTAGCATATGATTCAACGGCTCCTTCAAAATTTATGCAACACTTTGTAATGACGCCCAAATAACTCGCGACCTTCGGAAAGCTATATCCAAAAATCCAATCGGTGAAACAACATGTTAACCGGTATGTTCTAGCTTGCAACGTCAGCTTCATAATGAATGTTGCATCACTTGATTCCGTAGTCTAGCGAGTCAGAGAGGGGATTGCACTGGGGGGTAATCTGCCGTAGGAGAAATTGACAGTCCTCAGAGTCACATCCATTGAAGCTTACAAGTTTTCAGACATGATAGAAATATCTAAGCATAGTTGGAAGATGGGGAAGGAAGGGAATGATGAAAGGGAAGGACCCAGCATAGTTGGAAGATGGGGAAGGAAGGGAATGATGAAAGGGAAGGACCCTGGAGGCCCTTGGTCAAGAACATGACTAGAGTCAAAGTCTTGACTCCCCATCCTCAGGGTCAACCAGCCTGGCAAGACAAAATTCACATTGTGTCAGGTTGGCATCCAAACCCCAAATGATGTAGCTGCAAGGTGAGGACAAAAATCCCATACATGCTGGTCCCTCCTTGTTATAGGGCTCTCCAACTTTGGTGTAGCAGCTGCCAAGGACTTCAAATAAGTTGTAACAAATCCATCAAGAGTTTCTTCGTAACTTCTTCATATGTGCTCCGGTTCCAATAATTCTTTGCTCGTTGGAATGTGCTCGATGTCACGCACAATCCAATTTATATCTGCAGAAGCACAAGATGAACATGCAAAAACATGCAAATCCAACAAACCACACAAACAACGTAGCACACGAAACACATGCACACGAAATGATGCGAACACACGATAGGATGACGTGCAAACGAATAGGCACCAACACTTGTTAACTGGCCTTGCTACACTTGTTAACTGGCCTTGTGGCCTCTTTTCTTAGTGGTCAGACAAGTAGTGTTGCCCTGGTGTACTCTGCCTGGTTATGAACTACCACTATCTAGGCTACGGGGTGTGTCAACAAATATAGTTATATAGATTAGCTAGGTTATACTGTATTTGCTTATAGCCTAGTTAGTTCGGTTCTTAAAGTGTACAGCCCTAGTCTTGTACCTGTTGGACATTTTCCCTTTGTCAACATTCTCTCGATATTCTGACAAGGGGCACCCAGTTGTTTTCCAATTGTGTTCGGTCCTTCTTGGATGCTAGGAACTCGATCAGACGAGTACGTATGGGGTTTCGAATCCAATGGCTGAGGATGCACGTTCGACGGTTACTTTGGCGAACGGTAGGATGCTCATGTTGGTTCTGTGACGTGGCAATCGGCCTGTGTTGGTGATGTAGGGTAGTAGGAGTCGCATGTGGAATGTCGCATGTGGCAGGTAACAGTAGATGGGGTGTAACAGGTATGTTCGTGTGGCTGATGGTAAGCGGTCCACAGTAGCGAGGGCGAAGATTTGGATCTATGGTAGTCGAAGATTCTGTGTGTTGAGCAGAATTGCGTCTCCTGGTTGGTAAGTTACTGCTCGACGATGCATTTAGAAATGACCCCCCGCGCTTAATGGCTTCTGCTGCTCGCTAGCAGGCATTCTGTAAAACTTGTGCAAACTGCTCGGCTCGTGGCACGGAATTATCGGGGTTCGGGTTGATTGGGACTTAATGGTCTATACCTGTTCCATGCTAAAGGAGACGAGTTTTTTCACGCGGCTCGAGCGTGTTCCCCAGAATTTTCAAACATGGGAAAACGATCCATTAGCCAGGAAAATGCACAGTAACTCCCGGCAACATGTCGAAACGTTTCGGCCGCGGTTCAATTCGGTACCTGGTGTTTGGGACGGAACGTAGGGGGACACGAGCAGGCGAGAATTGCAATAAGGACCCTAGGGGTGACAGGATCTGGTGGGAATTGCAGACCATAGCATGGAACAGGAGTATTCCGTAGTTGCGGGTAGTGGCTTACGGGGAATTATTGTAAGCGAATCAGAGGGCAACATTTGGGAACCGCGATTGAATTTCGTGGCAGACTGCGCAGCAACCCCGTTATAGCAGTGTACGCCTTACAAGCTAAACCCCGTTATTGCTATGTCGCATGGTTCAAGCTTTATTAAGTTGAACGTTTTTTTTTTCACGAAACTGGGGTTACACAAGCTGCAAAGGCACCCGATTGGCTGAAATCTTGACCGGGCGGCTCGCGTGCGTTGGCCTGCGGGAACTTGGAAGTGGGGGCCATTGCAATTTGGGACTTATGCACCCCAACCCAACCAGTGCCCCTGGGATTCGTTGACTAAGGGTGGGTGAGATTCGGCTCGAGCGGAGCCAAATCCCGAGCCTGCGGCTCAATGTTGCAGTGAAATTCCAGAAAAACACACACAAAAAAACTCTGGAACAACATTGAGCCCCGCTCAAGTGTAAACAGTACCCATACGAGCGTTATTGGAGCACTGGACGAAAATTAACAGTGAGTGTCGAAAAATACATGCGAAACCTACAGTGAGAGAAAAAATCCTCGCCCCCCTTACAACACCAGACGCGGAAACCAGAGGTTTGGAATGGTGCTCGGTTGCTCTTAATGAGTTTTGTAGTTGCTGTTGTGTTTGTGTTTGGGTTGTTCCCAGATTGCGCAATTAGGGCTTGGTGCTTTTTTGGAGTAGTTGCAGCTCGTCGTTCGAACAAAACCGTTTTTCGCCAGGTTACAATTTTCGTTAGCGTCGCCTAAATGGCATCACGCATTCATGTTAGGGGAGGGCCAAGAGTCGTTCGATCTCCCGAATCGTCCTGCAAAGTCGGATGGACGGTCGTCGCATTCGTCTGGCCGTCAAATGGACCGTCAGTAGTCGTGCGCATGCCGAACAAAGGCCGCAATTCTCGCGCGCGCTCTCGCCACATCGCCCAGCCACGCTTCGGCAATGTGCAGGTTTTCCAATTTCCCCCAGTGATGCGGTTGCCTAGTTTTCGCCACTGGTTTCGCGAGCCATCAAGTTTGGCTGTTCGAAGTTTGCATATCGGAAAATGTACCTCACTTCGATTCAGGTCTGCGAGCCACTCACCAGCTCCTGGTACATTTTGCATTCGGGCTGAACCCGCTTTTTGACCCTATAACGAACGAACTCAATATCCTTTTTATAATGCACCACGCCCTTATTGGCAGTGACGTCGTTTGCTGATTTGCTCGCGAAACATTGGTTTCCCCATTGGTGTCGCTGGTTTACTGTGCAAGCTTTTGGTCGTGCGTAATAATTGGTTGCGATTTTCATATTTTCGCAGTGGCACAGTGTAACACTTCCCGAGGGCCGGGCTCAAGCCCGCGGCTTGTCGTGCGATTTTCGCACATTGAGCTCGCGGACCGAGCGAGTGCGACATTGAGCCCAATCTCGGCCCCCCAAAGTGAAAGGAAACACACTCGCGATAGGTTCGTCGAAAACAACAGTATCGTCACTCACACAATATTTCACTGTAGCACGGCATGTTTCTAAAGCATGAACGTTTTGGACCGCGGCCTTCAGGGCTCATCCAAAGCGAAAATTTTGAATTTCATACCGTACTTGATCTATCTGTAAAGCACAGAAACATTTCAAGTTGCACCATGCCAAGCTGCACCGAATTCCGAAACAAAAAGTTTTGTCACTTTGGATGCGCCCTTAAAACCCGCACCCCAACTTTGGGGCGGCAGCCATCAAACGCGCTGCGTTTGAAATTTGTGATTTCGTGGGTGTAGGGGGGTAACGTGAATCTCGTCACTCAGGGGTACTGTTCAAGTTCAGCGCGGAGGTTATTCCCTGACACTAAGTGCCCGGCGTTATTTTACCGTCCATTGTTTTGCACATTCCCATCGGACGGCCCGAAATCCTAACTTTCTCCCAGACTGTTCGGAATCTAATCGTACCCGTCAATTTGCGCTTTTGCTAATCTGACGGCCCACGAACTACTTTCAACTCGCGAGTTGAAACACCCTTGTGATTTTTAGCATGTTTCGTGCAACCTCAGCTCAAAGTTCATACGCAGCGGGTTTGAACAATTTGCGATGCGGGTTTTAAGGGCGTGTGAGTTATTGCGAAATGCTAAAGTCCGTACCAGAAATACGTACAGCGAGTACTTATTACCTAACTTGGAGAGTTATAAAAACAGCCCCCAAATTGCAGTTTTCGACGCTGGATTTCGGAAAACGTCAAGCGAACAACGCGGTACGTACTCGCGGTAAGTACACTGTTATGATATAGTAAGCAGGGCTGTCGTTATCAAGGTATTTTACCCTGATTCCCTGATTTCACAGGGTATGTTTTTTGCCAACCCTTAATTTTCAGGGTTGGACTTTTCTTAACCCTAGCCCCTTCAGGGTTGTAAGTTTCTGAACACTTGGGATTTCAGGGATTGCGTTATGCCAATACTGAGTTTTCAGAGAGCAAGGCGTACGAACCCTGAATGCGATTCCACATGCCTCACAGACCTGAAATTTCGGCGATGTCCCCAATCTCTAGAAACATTACCCCCACACACACAGCAACCTACAAAATTTGGCCAAGTCCTAATTGTACAGACATTCCCCTTACACACCCCACAAAAATCGACAAATATCGGCTAAGTCATAAGGTAGACATTCCCCCCCCCCCTACACCCGCAACAACCCACAAATAATCGGCTAAGTCCTAGAAGCCAGAGTAGCACTCTCCTCAACAAAAAATTGTCTAAGTCCTGTTGTACAGACATACATTCCCCCTCCCACACTTGTTGGGCTGAGAAAAGCCCTTAGGATCTTTCAGAGACTAAGTCCCACTTGTACAAGATACTTGAGTGGTGCAACGGAAGTTGAGTAGTTGAACCCTTGCACTAGTATGTGAGAGCAAGTGATTGATTAAAGGAAGGAAGCATACAACAATATATAGAAAATAGGAAAGTAAAGCAGTTGTAGAATACAGTTGAAGGAACGGTTATCGAGTCGCACAGCGACTCGATGGTCGATTCGGTTACCACTCTTGCAGTTGTAACGGTCAGTCGCAACCTCCGGTTGCGACCCTTCGAGTCTTTCGTCCTTTCGTGTTCTTTCGTCCAACCTCCTCGTGCAACCTCCGTTGACTCGCATACTCGATACGGCTTCTCTCAAGTGTGGTGTTACACTTCAGAAACGCTTACGTCCTTGGGGTATTTCCAACACTCCCCTTCATTTCTGGAGTGCTGACGTGTCCAGATTCGATGACGTTTATCTGCCCGGTCAGCAGCATGCAGTAATCGAACTTTGCTTTCGCCGGTTTCTTCGTCAGGTAGTCTGCAGCCATTTCTGTCGTGGGGCAGTAGCTAATTTGAAGTCTCCCCTTCGCGATTTCATACTTGACGAAGAAATACCGCAGGGCGATGTGTTTGGTTCGGTTGGCGAAACCGTTTTTGTTCGCGATTTTGATCGCGGATTGGTTGTCGCAGAAGAGTGAGAAGAAGGGCAGGGTGCAATCTTTGCTTCCTCGAGCAACTCTCGCAGGTAGAGTCCTTCCTTGGTCGCAGTGCAGAGGGCGATATATTCTGCTTCGGCCGAAGATAGTGCGATTAGTTCCTGTTTGCTCGACTGTCAGGAGATAGTCCCGATAGGCTCTAGTCGGTAGATGTAGCCCGTTCTTGAGCGTCGATTTTCCCTGTCTCCTGCGTGGTCGGCGTCGACGTATCCAAGTAGTTGTACGGACGATGTCGTTGCTTTACTGTAGGTAAGTCCAGTCGTCGGCGTAGAGACGAAGTAGAGTAGTGCCCAATTTAGTTCCTCGAGATCTTCTTGTTCCAGCTGCTTTAGATGCGTCGCTAGTTGGCTCGCGCTGTAAGATAGGTCCGGTCGGCAAGTTACTGCTGCGAATAGTAGGCAGCCGAGCTTCTGCTGATACTCTTGGATTTGCTTCGCGGGGAGTTTTGCGGAGGTGTCGTTGTTCTTCCCGTAGCGGTAGGGAGTTGTGACTGTAGTCGGCGTTAGTCCGAATTTCTTTGCGATAGCACCTGCGTACTTCCCAGCGTGTAGGTAGAATGCCGAGTTGCCTTCGACGATGTTCAGACCCAGGTACTGGGTCACGGTGTTAGACACCGTGAGTGTCAAGTCACTTCTCAGCTCGCCTTCGAACCAGGTGGCGATGTCAGTAGTGGAGCTGATGTAGAGTAGGTCGTCGACGTAGACGATGAGTAGGATAAAACCCCTTTCCTTTTGTAGTCGGTACATGCCTTGGTCGTGCGGCAGCTGTAGGAAGCCAATCCTGACGAGGCGACCGTGAAGGTGCTGCTGCCAAAGCCGCGGGGCTTGTTTGATCCCGTAGAGGGATTTTATCAGCAGGCACATTTTTGTGGGGTCGTCGATGAATCCGTGGGGCTGCTCGACGAAGATCTCGGCGTCCACCGGTGCGTACAGGAAGGACAATGACACCACGCAAGGACTTGCTGGATGCTGTGCGATCGCCTCCAATCTCTGAAGTGCGCTCAGCATCCGGACATGCAGTGAAGGTCGCTGGAATTGGTCGAGCTGCATTCAGAGCACCTGATGGTGGACTGGTTGTGCTGAAGGACGTGTTACTCGTACCGGGGCTGAAGGCCAATCTGATATCGCTGCGCAAGCTAGGCCAGGCCGGAGTCAGCACCACCACCAATGGATCCAAAACATTCAAGGGGCTGCGAGGAGATCGTGTGTTATGGGATTTACACGAAAGCAGAGATGTCTTCAGATCCATGTGGCAGATCCCTGCACTGATATGGGAATCAACAAAGAAGGAGTTGGGAGAAGTAAAGGCGGGATCTGGAGTCCAAGGGGAGTGTAATGCAGTTAGTGCTACAGGAGTGACGGTTTCTGCAAGGTCGGGGGAGACTGATTGGGAAACCACACACAGCCGTCTAGGGCATGTGGCAATGCCATTGCTGCAGCAACTGCATAAGGAAGAAGCAGTAAAGGGGCTCAAGCTTTCTGGGCAACCAAATGATACCAAGTGCGAGACGTGTCTGCTGAGCAAGTTCACACGGTTCCCCTTTCACGGCGTAGCTGGGAAAAGCAAGGCAGCACTGGAACTGGTGCACATGGACCTGGTAGGACCTTTTCCAGTCCGAGGAAGTAAGGGGGAAAGATACTTCCTGACAATAGTTGATGACTGGAGTCGGCTGATGTGGGCATACCCGTTGAAGCAGAAGGATCATGCTGCCTCAACAATACGAGATGATTGGCTGCCGTTCGTCGAGCGACAATCTGGGCACCCATGCAAGAGCATCAGAACCGACCGAGGTGGAGAGTTTCTAGGAGGAGATCTGACTGCGTGGCTCAAGAAACAAGGCATTGAGCATCAGCTAACGACGTCCTATACCCCTCAGTCAAATGGCGTTGCTGAGAGGGCTAATAGGACCATCCTGGAAACTGCGCGAGCGCTGCTGATCGAATCAGGGCTGGGGAACTCCATGTGGCCTCATGCGGTGAGGCATGCTACAGTGGCAAGGAACCGCGTACTCACAAAGGTGGCTGATGAGATGTGGGTGCCGCTGGAGAGGTGGCTTGGAAAGAAGCCTCCAGTGGACATGCTTCGAGTGTTCGGATGCATGGCAGTGGCGCATGTCCCTAAACCGTACAGGACAAAGCTTGGAGCATCTGCACTTTGGTGTGTGCACCTTGGGCTTGCGGCAGAGAGCAAGGGGTGGCTACTCTGGGAGCCCTCAAAGAATGTGCTGTTTGACAGTCGGGATGTCAAATTTGTGGAGAACATCATGTATGGCAAGTGGGAGAAGCAGCCGGAGGCAAGGGTCACCCAGCAGCTGGAAGAGATCACTATGCACTTCGATCTGTCCGAACCTGAGGACAGCGAAGTCATTGCGCCAACGGCAAGCGGTACTGATGAAGGAAGCAATGAGGATATTGCAGCTGATGCTGAAGTCAAGGATCCGGAGCAGCAGCAGCAAGAGGCTTCCAAAACACCAAGTCTGCCAAAGCGAAGGAAACAGATTGGTGGGGGGACAAAGGATTGGGTGAAGGTGAAAGAATGGGTAAATCCAACCATCTACCCTGCACGTACCAGAATGGCAACGAGAAAGCTGCTGAGCTCCACAAGTGGAGGAGCCACAACTGAGCAGCAGGAACAGGCTCAAGGCGAAGATGCAGTGCTGTTCTTGGGTGATGACCAAGAGTCAGATGACGAGGAGCCTGCATACTGCTTTTACGCACCAATACAACCTCCGAGCATGGATCATGCGCTAGCCGGGCCTCAACGGGGGAAGTGGCTCGTTTCAAGAGATGCAGAGTACAACAGCCAGATGGAGAATCACACATGGGACCTGGTGCACTTGCCAAATGGGAAGAAGGCAATACACTGCAAGTGGCTGGCAAAAATCAAGACAGATGAGAAAGGAGAGCCATCAGTTTACAAGAGCAGGCTGGTGGCAAAGGGGTTTCAGCAGAAAGAAAAGGAAGATTACAAAGAAGTGTTTGCCCCAACTGCTAAGTCTCCAACGCTACGTGTGCTGCTGGCGGTAGCTGCTGTGCGCAAATGGAAGGTGAAGCAGATGGACATCGTAACCGCTTTTCTGTACGGCATTGTGGAAGAGGAGGTGTACATGGTTCAACCACCTGGCTATGAGGATGGAACCGGTCGTGTCTGCAAACTTAACAAGGCCATCTGTGGCTTGAAGCAGGCCCCGAGATGCTGGTACAACAGGCTGGCCAGTGCACTGGAAGGGATTGGATTCCGTGCGAGTGCATGCGATGAGAGCCTATTCCTGATGGGAGAGGGGGAGTCACTTGTGCTTCTGCTGGTGTACGTGGATGACATCCTGCTCTTCAGCAGCAGTGACAAGGAGATCGATGGGGTGCAGCGGAAGCTCACAGAGCAGTTCAAGTGCAAGTCACTTGGAGAAGCAAGGTACTACCTGGGAATGCACATTGAGTGGGATACTGAACATGGCTGGCTCAAACTGCATCAGGGACAGTACATCAACACCTTGGCTGAGAAGTACTCTCTGCAGGAAGAACGGGAAGTGGTCACACCTTTGCCTTCCGAGTTCAAACTCATAAAGGCAGCTGAAGGAGAAGGAGTTGAGAGTGAAGACCAGAGGCAATTCCAATCCATGGTCGGGAGCCTACTCTACGCTGTTGTGCATACTCGGCCTGACATCAGCTTTGCTGTGGGACAGCTGGCTCGAGTAGTGCAAAATCCAACAGAAGAGCAGTGTGGTGCAGCGGAGAGAGTGGTGTGCTACCTCAAGTCATACCCTACAGTGGGAGTACAGTATTCAGCCTCTTCTCAACTCAGTCAAAAAGGAGTTGAAGTCCTCGAAGAGAAGGGGGAGCAGCTCGGAGAAGGAAAGGTGTTCCTTTCCTGTTTTGCTGATGCCACGTGGGCTTCTGAGCATGAGGATTCATCATCAGTTGGTGGATACATCTGCATGGTGGGAGGTGGGCCTGTGAGTTGGAGGTCCAAGAAGCAGTCTGAGACGGCACTATCTTCAGTGGAATCTGAGTACATGGCGATGTTTCATGCGGCAAAAGAAATCATCTGGCTAAGGAGGCTCTTGAAGGAGATCGGCCATGAACAGACTTGTGCAACACCTCTGTTCAGTGATAGCAAGGGAGCCATTGCCATGGCACGCAATGCAGTTCTTCATGGGTTGAACAAGCAGATGAGGATCAAGTGGCATTGGCTGCGGAAGGAGGTGAAGCTTGGGACACTGGATCCGATCTACGTGAAAACTCAGCAACAGCCAGCCGACTTCCTTACCAAGCGGCTAGCTGAAGAGCCACACTGGCGCTGTGCGAGGATGGCGGGAATGTCCTTGAACTAGAGACGGCGAAACAAGCCGACAGTCTGAGGGGGAGTGTGTTGGTGCATATTCATTTGCACGTCATCCTGTCATCTGTTCGCATCATTTCGTTTGCATGTGTTTTGTGTGCTACGTTGTTTGTATGGTTTGTTGGGTTTGCATGTCTTTGCATGTTCATCTTGTGCTTGTGCAGATGTGCTTGGATTGTGCATGACATCGAGCACATTCCAACGAGCCAAGAATTGTTGGAATCGGAGCACATATGAAGAAGTTACGAAGAAATGTTTGATGGATTTGTTACAACTCATTGGAAGTCCTTGTCAGCTGCTACACCAAAGTTGGAGAGCCCTATAACGAGGAGGGACCAGCATGTGTGGGACTTTTGTCCCCACCTTGCAGCTGCAGCATTTGGGGTTTGGAGGCCAACCTGGCACAGTGTGAATTTTGTCTTGCCAGGCTGGCTGAACCTGAGGATGGGGAGTCAAAACTTTGACTCTTGTCATGTTCTTGACCATGGGCCTCCAGGGTCCTTCCCTTTCATCCTTCCCTTCCTACCCCACCTTCCAACTGTGCTTCAATGCCTTTTCTATCATGCCTCTGATCTTGTAAGCTTCAATCATAGTGACTCTGAGGACTGTCAACTTCTCCTAAGGCAGATTACCCCCCAGTGCGCCAAACGCCATAGCTCACTCGTTAAGCTACGGAATCGAGTGATTCAACTTTCAGTGGAAAGCTGACGCTGCCAGCTACAACATATCCGATTTTCAGATCGTTTCACCGATTGGAGTTTTTGATATAGCTATTCGAAGGTCGCGAGTTTTCTGGGCGTCATAACGAAGTGCTGCAGAAATTTCCAAGGAGCCATTGAATCATCTGCTTATAGCCTTCTCTAACCAACAGGTGTCGAGGTTGTTACTATCGAGAGGATTGTCTTTGTCGAGTGGAACAGGCACGGAACAGTAAAGGAGTGGTCCGGCAGCTTCCAAAGCTCCAGGTACGTCTTCTTCTGCTGCGTCAGCCTCGGCGGCACGGTCGGCGAAGGACCGAAGGCCCTCGAAGCCATTCGCGGGGTCTTCTGTGTTTGCAATGTTGTCCAGGTAATGCTGCAGCGTCAGTCGTTCGTAGAAAATCACATCACGTGAGGCCACGGTGTTTTTGTCTTGTATGTCGAGAAGTTGTCACGCTTGGAAATGTTTTGCGATGCCGAGGTGTAGTCCCCATCGTGCTCGTTGAGAGAATCGTCCTGCGCGAGCTGTGTGGGGTCTGTACTGTACCATGCAGCCGAAGACTCGAAGTAATTTTGTGCTGCCCTGTTTTCCCGTCCACAGCAGGTGCGATGATGCGTTGTTGGGAAGTGATGACGAGGACAACAAATTGTGCGGGTGAACTGCATGGGTCATCGCGTCAGGCCAAAGCGTGCTGGGCAGTCTCATCCCCAGAGCAGCTTCCGCATCGTCGTCTGCAAGGTCCGGTTCATTCTTTCTGCGACCCCCTGCTGCTGGTGAGCGTAGGGCAGAGACACCAGGCGTCTGATTCCTCTTTTCGCCAAGTAATTCGTGAATCGTTGTGACTGGTATTCCAGTGTGCCGTCTGACTGGAAGCTCTTGAGTTGAGTTCCTGATTCTCGTTCAGCGATGGGGAGCCACGTCGTGAAGGCTTCAAATGCTTGATCGCGTGTCTTGAGGTTGTAGTGCGAGACGTATCTTGTTGCTGCGTCGATGAACGTGATGACATAGTTGAAGTCTGCTTCACTGTCGTCTCGCGGCATATTTAAGATGTTGCTGTAAACCTTTTCCATCGGTGCGTATGCAGGTGCACTTGGATTGTGATGCGACGGAAAGGGTTGGTGTGGAAGATCGGCTTCAGGACACGTGAAGCATCGGGCGCAAGGTCGTCGAAGCTCTTGTCCGCTCGTTGTGAGGAGAGCGTCCTTTTCTCATACTCCAGCTTGTATTGTTTGTAGAACTGTACTGTTTGCAGGGTGACCGTGGCGTTGGTGCCAGATGTCGTCGGGAGCGCGATGGCCAGGCAAGCGCTGATACAAGCTGGTGTTGGAGAAGAACGCAACAACTGTTGCGGGACTGCGGCAAACTCATCGAGCGTTTGGCATGAGTTGGTCTGCTTCGGTTGGTGACTGCCGGTGATGGCATACGACTAGGTCCTGCTGCTGCTACTGCAGGTGATGTTGTGGGTGGGACACTTGCTGGTACGTGTCTTTCTTGTCGTATGACTGCTAACGCTTGGGTCCTTTCTGCTGCAGGTATTGTGTTGGAGTACCAGAAACCATCTGGGGTAAAGTCGGGGTCAAGATCCGGCGGGTGCGTCCAGGCGGCGAACGACACGATGCCATCGCTGTCGGCAGTACCGCGGTTGGGGACGAAATCCAACACGAAGACGCCCGACTTCAGGAGAGCGTGACCGATGAAAAGGCCGCCCTTCTCGTGGTAAAGGCGAAATTTGTTGGAGTCCGAGTCGCATTCCAGGAGAATCCTTTTTGCCATTAACTGGCTGACGCTGAGTAAGTTGTATCCCAAGTTGTCGTCGATTAGAACTTTGTTGAGTTGCAGTATGACGTTCGTCTCCATTGACTGAAGCTGAACGATGCCTTGTCTGTTTGTTTTCAGATTCTCTTTGCTGGCGACGGTGATGATGACATCACGGTTGAGACGTCGCTCTCGTTGCACGAAGCGCCCGGAAGAACACATATGTTGGCCGCAACAAATGTCCAAGAACCAAGTGTTTCGCCCGGTGGGTTCGGCGTTGGCGACTGCAGCGTACGTTGGGTTGACCTGAAGTCCTTGTGAGCGCGGCGATGACAGTTCTTCTTTGTCTGGAGCGTAAGTGGGTGGTGATCCGGGTGCGCAGTTGTCGATGTGTACCATGCAATTGATGATGTTTGGTGTGCCTTGTGCAGATGTGGAGGGACGCCTCGGCGGGCTTTCTTGAGTGGAAACGACTTGTGGGTCTACTGGACGATAAGCTCGGGGGCGTGTGCAGTTGACTTTGGAGTGTCCGGATGTTTGACAGTTGTGGCAGAACGGCGGCACAATGGTGAGTCCTCTATTGTCGCGTTGATCTTGCTTGCCGCGTCGGTTGTAGTTGTTGTCGTTCCTTCGTTGAGTGTAGAAAACTAACGGTTGATGTTTCCTTGGTTGTCGTTCTTCAAACAGGTCCATCTCCTGTTGCTCAGCATGAAGCTCGGCGCAGAGGTGCATCTCCGAGATTCGTCCGTGGGCGCGAAGAAGCGAGCGGGTGGTTCTCCATTCTGGCCCGAGCCCAGCGAGGACAAGTGTCACGAAGCTTTCTTTAGTGATTGTACCTCCGCACTGAAGCCGGCGGTCTCGGAGTGTTTGGCAACGGCTCATATACTGCATCGCCTTTTCCCCGGTCTTCATCTGTATTGTTGTCAGCTGCTGCATGAGTCTGCTTTGTGTCACGCTGTCATTTGCTTGATAGAGACACTTGAGGTGATGCCATGCGAGTTCCGCGGAGTTTCCATAGCTCCGATACGTTCTGATGCTTTGCTGTTCTTGTGGTGACAGGTTCCGCAGGAGAACTGTGTACGCCAGCAACGACTGATACGTGAAAATTTCTTGCTCTTTTGCAGTGCCATTGCTTGGAAATAGCAGGGACCCGTTGAAGTATCCCAAGAGGTGCGCGGCCTCCATCAGCAGCTCGAACTCAAAACTCCAGGTAAAGAAGTCGTGTCCGTTGAACGGTGAGGATGTCTGCAGTTTGATCACGTATGAAAACTGCGCTTGGAGACTCAATATCTCGTTTGGTGTCTATTGTGATGCAGCTGCTGTTGGTTGGGCACGGGGCGGCATAAACTCGAACGTCCCCGGTGAAGAGTGATAAGGCGCAAAGGTAGGCGCTTGATTGTATCGCCCGAACGATGAGTTGTCGAGGCTCATCGGTGCTAATCCCATGTTTCCTCCGTTGCTCTGTGTTGAATGCGCAGGTGTCCTTGTCTGCTGCTGCTGGTCGAAGTGTGACATGAAGCTGAAGAACCTTTCCATGAGGTTCGGGTCCACGCTTGAAGAGGGTGATGGAGTCACCATTTCTGGTGCTCTTCCTGTTGTTTCTTGAGCAGCGCCGGTCTCGGTTTGCAGTCCTGAAGTGTGTAGTCCAGAGTTGCTGGGTTGGGTGTCTTGGGTGCTGGGTGAGCCCGTAGAGATCTGCTTGCCCTTGTTGTCCATGACTTATAATTGATGAAGCTTGTTGAAGTGTTGACTTGTAGGTAGAACGTTGTTGCTGGGAGTTTGGTCTCTGACCAGCTCTCATACCATGTTGGGCTAAGAAAAGCCCTTAGGATCTTTCAGAGACTAAGTCCCACTTGTACGAGATACTTGAGTGGTGCAACGGAAGTTGAGTAGTTGAACCCTTGCACTAGTATGTGAGAGCAAGTGATTGATTAAAGGAAGGAAGCATACAGCAATATATAGAAAATAGGAAAGTAAAGCAGTTGTAGAATACAGTTGAAGGAACGGTTATCGAGTCGCACAGCGACTCGATGGTCGATTCGGTTACCACTCTTACAGTTGTAACGGTCAGTCGCAACCTCCGGTTGCGACCCTTCGAGTCTTTCGTCCTTTCGTGTTCTTTTGTCTAACCTCCTCGTGTAACCTCCGTTGACTCGCATACTCGATACGGCTTCTCTCAAGTGTGATGTTACACTTCAGAAACGCTTAAGTCCTTCGCGTATTTCCAACAACACTCTCGCAGACATCCCCCTCGATGTCGATCCCCCGCTCACCTCCGTTTTGATCCTCGTGCCCCCTCCGTTTCGCCTCCCCGCTCAGTTTAGCCAAACTGATGTTTTCTAGCAGCATTGGTTCATTTCGGAATTTCCCCCAGGCTCCCAGTTCCCCAAAAAAAATCCACCAAATTTTGACGGCCACGATCGAACGCGATCGTTTCGACGTTTCTCAGCGGTTCATCGTTGGTCAGCTATTAACGGCTCAGATTTGCGCGACCTAAGCTAGTTTTTTTGCTAGCTCAGACGATTTGGGCCCATCTGGAAAAAACCCCTGTAAAACCAGAGCCGAGCCAAACATAACCCCGGCTTCCAGCAAGGCAGTTCTCGAATGTACCAGGCTTTGAGAGGTGTGGGGCG